TATATATATCTATCTAGCATCTGCATTTGTCTCGGCCGCAACCAGCGAATCACGGCCGCGATTTTTGGCATTTTGGGTATTTTTCAACCAAAAAAAACACCACGGGGAAATAAAAATTTCTTAAAATAGAAAAAAAAAGAAATTGAAACCGAATCTCTTTACTTTTAGAAAGAAAGTTTATTTTTGGCATTTTTTGGTCTGTGAATCGCGGACGCTATTTGGGTATTTTTCAACAAAACAAAAAAACACCTCCAGGGGATAGAAATTTCTTAAAATAGAAAAAAAGAAAGAAAAAGAAACCGAATCTCTTTACTTTTAGAAAGAAAGTTTATTTTCACTCCAGCTTCACTTTGTCTCTTTCTCACTTGTTGACTCCACGTTGATTTGTTATTTTTATGTGCAGAATATAAGTACATTACATACTATTTATATTGCTGTTCCCCTTTTATTTTTTCCTTCTTTGTTGTGTTTTAAGTTGTTGGTGTGTTAATTTTTTTTCTCGTTATTGTTCTGATGTGTTGTTGTTTTTCTTTTTTTATGTGTGTTTATATAACGTACTGTCATTTAATTTGATGTAGTTCCTACCTTTGTATATATATTTAAATGTGTTATGTCAGAGCGTGTCTCCACCAAAACCGTACACTGACATTAGCAAGCCCCTTGTGTGCGATTCCATAATTTGCATGTAATATCCGATAGGCCTACTTTTTCTTGAATTACACACGTTTAGGATTAAAACTGCCAATCATCAGAAAGGTGAACACTTAGTTAATCTTTGTGGTTGTTTATGTGCTGTTCTAATTTTGATTTCATTCTGTTGTGAAACCTTTATTTTTCACGATTTTACACTCTGTGTGGCTACAAATGATATTCTGGATGCTTAATACAGAGCTCAAGAAATTCTGGTGCTTTAAATTAAGTTACCTCCATCAACATATTGCCATATATGTACGTCGTCACATAGAGTTGAAAGCTTGAAAATTAATGGCAACTGTTGCTTTTTTTGTGGCAACTTTTGAAACAAAAAAATGGCAACAAATGCAGATGCTAGATATATATTAAGTAACTCTGTTCACTTGTTCTGGGGAAACTTGTAAAATTCACAATCGACTTCCACAATGTTTTGTTTTATACCATAAGCAGCCTTATTTTGGAGACTATTTGATCCTCTTCTCAGTGATTGTTTGTCACCTTTTATTGTAGTTGTAATTGTCTAAGGCAGCCGCCCATTATTGAGGAGAAAAGTAGACGTCTTAGTCTTAGACAGGTAGTTGTCTTACAGCCTACACAATGTCATTATAACGTTAAAAAAACAAGGGGGGAAATGAAAGGTAGTTGTTTGTACAGGTGATTCTCTTATTAGTCTTATACGGGTGGCTGTTAGAGCCGGTCAGCTTTATACAGCATAACACGGATAGCTCGAATTCATCGGTACCGGCCTCGGTAGTTCAAGGAATCCGTAGTTCGATGCGATAGATATCTCACAAAAATAAAGAAGAAAGAAAAAACAATGAGTCTGCAGGTACAGTTCAACGGATTCGTGATTTCGAGTCTTCTGTGTTCTACCGACCTATCCGTGTTATGTATTATTTTACTTACACATTCATTTTTTGTTGTCGTTCTCAGTACCCCGATGCAGTGACGGAGAAGGAACTGCGGTCAGCTCGGCACGCTGTCGGACAGAAGATTGACAAAGATGTATCTCGCATATTTGATGTGCTTGAGGTAAAATAAGACAGTGTAGTGCTTACATTTTTGTCATTTGCACACTGCTCCTCTCTTGTTACTTCACTGCACCCCCCAGGGCAGTGCCACTGACTGAAGTGTCTTTAGGCCATTCCCAAAGGGGGGGCATTTCTCGTTCAAGCATAGTAGAATTGTAAATGGGCTGACTCATGTCACGTTCATAACTGTGCCTGATCTACAACAGGGAACTGCTGCTTTTTCTTTCCTGGTCCTTACTATTGTCATTTTCCTCTACTTCTTTTGTATGTTTGTCGCTCCCTTGTGACCTGCTATTTTGGGGTGCCTTGATAGTTGAAGCAGACCTTGTGCTGTTGAAGCTAGAGAGGTGAGCAGTCTAAGTCTGATTCCCTGTAAATACTTCTCTGTTGACACCCACCCCTTGGCTCTCATATGACCTCATGCAGTTGCGAGCGCCGTAAAACCCTCTACTATAATATAAATATAAAATACTTCACTGCATTAAAGAGATGATGAACATGACTAATATGAGGTAAAATAGGATAGGTTGGCTTTTTTTTTTTGGGGGGGGGGGGGTTAATATGCCTTGGTGAAGGTGAACACCTTTTCAAAATTCCTGTGTCAGTGGGAAACAAAGTGTTAAGACATTTTTTGTCCATAGTTCAATCAAAAATCTTTAAACTCTATCCTGATATTAGTAATATTGGAGAGGGGCGGGGGGGCAATTTGTGTGGCATTGTGAAGAAATCAGGTGCTCGTCAAAATAATTAAATTGAAGAAAACAGCATTTTTCCACTAGTTAGTTGTTTGGGGGGGGGGGGGGGTTCGAATTTTTGTTTTTTTTCCGCTAAACACCTTTTATGTCAATTTAAAAACAACTGTGTGGATTATATTGAAAACCTTTTGATTAAAAACACAAAAATTGCAAATTTTAATTTCCCAAAGACTCTCAAGCTATGGAAATTACCAAAGTTTGGCAGCCATTTTCTCAATAAATTTACCTCCGAAAACAGGCGACCCCTTACCTTCTTCAATGGGAAATATTTCGACTTCTGTTCAAGACAGATTATTATTTTTTCATTGAAAGCAAGACAAATTTAACATGCCCAAAAACTGACGAGCGCCTGATTCCACCGCATCATGACACGTTTGTCTTTTTGATTATAGTTTTTAATAGAGTTAGATACTGAATCAAACATTAATTGGTAGGTAATGTTAATGGTAGGTAATTTTTCAAATTGTTTGGTGTTGTCTGTTATGATTATATTCATATATTGAATGGAAATATTTCTCAGCACTTCTTGCTGAAGAACATTTTCACGATCCCCGACGACGTGGTCCTCCCAGAGGACCGGTGCCAGACAGAGGAGCGGGCGGCAGACAATGGGATGGAGGAGAAGAAACGGGAGCTCAAGCAAAAGATTGTGGCTGTGAGTGTGTCAGGGACGTAAATGTTTCAGATTTCCTCTGATTTCAGATTGTTTAACCCTTCCTGCTTTAAAAAAGAACAAGAAACAATATTAGTAAAGGGAGAGAGAGGGGAAGAAATCAATAAAATTTAAAATGGAATGTAAAAAAGTTTCTCCAACGTAATTAATTGAATTACGTGGTGCATTGGTCTTACACATAGTATTATTATTATTATTATTAATATTATTGCTTCTACTGTAATAGTCCTAAAGTCTTTCTCGCACATAAACTTGGCACGGAAACACACACCCACTGTTTATTCTCACACCACACGCATAATGTGTGGCGTTGACGAGACTTCTATATTCACTCATAATTGTAATTGACTGCTCAGTGGAAGAATCTGTCATGCGTCACTTTTCAAAATGGTGTTTGGTGGAGTCTTTACGAAGCAGTCATAACGTGTTTTCTTTCCACAATATGTGAGGCAATGTGGCGAAATCTGAAAAGCTCTTGTCAAAACAGTGAAATCAAAGAAAGCGGAATTTTTCTGGACGTTGGACAATTTTTTTTTTTTTTTGTCGACACCTTTTATTAAGTCTTTAAGAAAAACGTGCCTGTGTGAATGTTACAGACAAGCATTACTAAAGGCACAAAAAATGAACATTTTTCAGTCTCAACGGATGCTCAAGCTTTTAAAGTCACCAGACTTTGGCAGCCGCTTTCTTGCTAATTTTACCTCTCATACCAGGCGGCGCATGCCTCCTTCAAAAGTCAATTTTGGGGCGTATTGAGCTAATTGAGTTATTGATATCATCTTAAAGCTTGTTCATTTGTCTTGCTTTTTGTTTCACAGTCAATTTTTTTTCCCCTATGTTCAATTTGTTATTGAGGTTTTTTGTTGTTTTTGTAAAAGGGGACATATGTCTATCATTTTTTAAATTATTTTTTTTTTTTGGGGGGGGGGGGTTAGTTTTGGTAGGGTTTTTTTTTCTTTATGACTTTTGACTTCACTCTGCTCTACATTGTTGTTTGTTTAAATTTAGAGACATTTCATAAAAAAAGGTTACAGTTTTTTCCGAAACTCTTTTTGTCAGATCTTTAAGAAAACTGGATGTTCTGTAACTTGTCGTTCATTTCAACTTATGTCCTCTCCTTTAGGTTATATGATTTGAGCAGTGCTTTTTATCTGCCATTAAGTTTGTTAAAAAGTCTACCTTCATCATCTAATAATAATGATAATGATAATGTGGATAATTTCTTAAGTGCCCACTCCCGTAAACTACAGTTTTAGGTGCTTTACAATACCTTACTTAATCTCAACACAAAACACAAGTGAATGAACATACATACTTACATTCGCAACATTCACATTATCACATACTTACATTCGCAACATTCACATTATCACATACTTACATTCGCAACATTCACGTTATCACATACTTACATTCGCAACATTCACATTATCACATACTTACATTCGCAACATTCACATTATCACATACTTACATTCGCAACATTCACGTTATCACATACTTACATTCGCAACATTCACGTTATCACATACTTACATTCGCAACATTCACGTTATCACATACTTACATTCACAACATTCACGTTATCACATACTTACATTCGCAACATTCACGTTATCACATACTTACATTCGCTACATTCACATTATCACATACTTACATTCGCAACATTCACGTTATCACATACTTACATTCGCTACATTCACGTTATCACATACTTACATTCGCTACATTCACGTTATCACATACTTATATTCGCTACATTCACGTTGTCACATACTTACATTCGCTACATTCATGTTATCACATACTTACATTCGCTACATTCACGTTATCACATACTTACATTCGCTACATTCACGTTATCACATACTTATATTCGCTACATTCACGTTGTCACATACTTACATTCGCTACATTCATGTTATCACATACTTACATTCGCTACATTCACGTTATCACATACTTACATTCGCTACATTCACGTTATCACATAAGCAGACAGTTGGGTTGGAACCCACAGGATAAAAGATCAAGGGGAAGACCTCGTGGAACCTAGAGAAGAGTCACAGAAATTGATGGACAGAAAAGTGGGAAGACATGGGATAACATCAACTCGGACTCGCAACCGTAAGGTCGTGGGTTCGAATCCCGTCAAGGGCCCGACGTTGTGTCCTTGGGAAAGGCACTTAACACGAATTTTCCTCACTTCACCCAGGTGGGAATGGGTACCCGGCTATAGACAGCGAAAGATCTTGTCAGTTTGTTAGTGTTTGAGCGCTTAATCGGCTGCTTGCACTGTATGCTTCCCGGGAAGCTGAGAATGTTTCGGAGTGTTCTATGGTCTGCTGGGGTAATAATATAGTGTAAAGCGCATAGAGCCTGCTGTTGAGCGGGGATATGGACAGAAAAGTGGGAAGACATGGAATAACATCAAGGAGCTAGCCCAGCATAGGGAAAAGTGGAAATTGTCTGTTTGTGGCCTTTACCCTGATCCAGGGTAAGAAAGGCAACGATGATGGGGATGACAAGCAGACAGGTCGAACCTCGTGCTGTGTGTGTTCGTGTTTGGTAAAGTCTACGTTTTTGTTGCACATTTTGTGTCCTCCTCAGGTGAAGATTGCCAACGCTCAGTTAAGTAAACACATTGAGGACTCTCAGGCTCTCCAGACTGCATTGGATGAACTTTCAGAGAAAATGTCGTCAGAGGGAAAGCTTTCTGGAATGAGCGGTAAATCCCTGTGATTTTATACATATGGCGGTTTCCGTCTAAAAACTTGGTCATCAAGGGAAAGAAAAAGCGAGTTCGAAGTCTAAGGCAGACGCTGTTCTTACGAAAATTTCAAGGGGCACAAAATAGCTTCTGTCCGTTAGCTTCTCTTTCTTATTCTATGATAAAATAATGACACGTGTGGCCAATACTGACACCCGAAAGAAGATAGAAAGGTTTTCTTTTTTACAAATATGTGTGTAAATGTCTGACTGGCGTGCATTGTTTTGGGTGTAGAGGGGAACCAAAGGCGTCACAAGTGAATTTTCACGTCGCAGCATTGTCACTATGATTTAATAACATATGGAAACTACAGTCTGGTACAGACGACTCAAACACATCATGGATTGACAAATTATGTGTTCAACACATCCATGATATGAGTCAACCGATATGACAACAAATTAAAAAGATTGAAAAAAAATCAAGGATAGAAACTGTTACGGTACAATGGTTGGAAAATAAATCACCAACGGATTTGCTGTTGCAGATTTGCCACACACAGCTTTTTGAGAGACACTATGTCTCTTTTGAAATGTGTCCAACTATCCTGTGTTGCAAGTGAAGTCACCCAATTGGGCGGTGCTACTGACTGAAGTGTCTTTAGGCCATTCCCAAAGGGGGGACATTAACCATGTTGTTATGCACAGTAGAGTTGTAATTGTAAATGGGCTGATTCATCAATGTCATGCTCATAACTGTGCCTGAACTGCAGCAGGGAACTGCTGCTTTTTCTTTCCTAATCCTTACTATCGTCATTTTTCCTCTACTTCTTTTGTATGTTTGTCACACTTGTTTCCCGCTATTTCCGGCGTGCCTTGATAATCGAAGCAGACTTTGTGCTGTTGAAGCTAGAGAGGTGAGCAGAGTAAGCCTGATTCCCTGTAAGGACTTCTCTGTTGACATCCACCCCTTGGCGCTCATATAACCTCTACTAAAACAAAACAGAGCATGGGACTAGACTAGAGATAGGAAGAGACATGGTACCTGCTTGCTGGAACCGTTGAAGCAATGCCAGCCCATGGTGGCGTCGGTTGCTTAGTGGTTAAGCTCTCCAGACTCGCAACCATAAATAAGGTAGTTGGTTTGAATCCCGTCAGGGGCCTGACATTGTGTCCTTGGGAAAGGCTCTTCACATAAATTTTCCTCACTTCACCCAGGTGGAGATGGGTTCCCAGCTATAGACCATGAAAGATTTTCTCAGTTTGTTAGTGTTTGAGCGCTTAATCAGCTGCTTGCACTGTGTGCTTCCCGGGAAGCTGAGAATGTTTTTGAGTGTTCCATGGTCTTCTGGGGTATTGAAATGGTGTAAAGCGCACAGAGCTTGCTAACCAGCAGGGATATGCGCTATGCAAATGCTATTTTTTTATATTATTATTATCATGTTCTCAAATTTGACAAAGTGTGCTGTTTTTCTCCTGTGGTGTAGCATATTGCCTTGTCTGAGCTCTTAAGGATAGTAAGCGAGGACAGTGCTGAGGGATAAGATGACTTCTCTCTGCCCTTGCGATGACACCAATGTGTACATTTCACCCAATTGCACGTTGATTCCATTCCGGTGCAAAATGTTTGACATAAATTACACGTAATCAGATACCGTAATCAGGCAGTGGTATTTATTATATATATATATGTTGTACAAGAAAAAAAATGTAGCAAAGCTTTTGTTTGAATTTTTTTCTCTTCTTGTATTTCACAGCTGGAGACATGAAGGATTACCTCTCCTACTACAGTGATTTGTTGAGTCGCGCCGTTTCTGACAGGAAGGGGACCTGATCTGGCACAAGTCATCTGTGTTGCTGTTGTTGTTATGTCGTTGTTATCGATCCAGATCAGTGTCGCTAAATCTTGTAGTCTTTTGTAAATAATTCTTTTTCTTCTTCAGTGAAATAGTGTCATCATCATCATCGTTGCGTTTCTCACCCTGCACCAGGATATAGGCCACGGACAAACCCTTTCCACCACTCTCTATCCTGGACTAGCCTCTTGATGTTATTCCATGTCTTCCCACATTTCTGTACATCAATTCTGTGATTCTTCTCCAGGTTCCACGCAGCCTTCCCCTTGATCTTTTACCCCTTGGATTCCAATCCAACACTCTCTTTGCTATGCAGCTGTCTGACTTCCAAATCCATCACCACCGCCTTCTTCCTACCTGATCTCTGACTGGTATCTGTCTTATTTTCCTTAACACTTCCTCATTGGTGACCCTGTCTATCAATCTGATCCTCTGTAACTTCCTTAGACATTTGTTCAAGAAAACCTGGAAATAGTGTACGGAGATGTAGAAAGAGAGAAGCAAGCACTTTGATTGAGGAACCATTGATTCTTTCTCTTTACACTCACACAAGGACACAATCAGAACAATATGTCGCTATCATTATCGATTTTTAAAATGCTTGCATTAGCCACATCTTTCTTATAACAAACACTCAGATTCAATGAAATCTAAGGTTGTGCTCAATTACTTTGTTTTATATGTGTGTGTGTGTGCCACGACACATTGGAATCAGATGCTCGCCAATTATGGGGCATGTGGAGTTATTAGTATCATCTGAAAGCTGATTTATTTGCCTTGCTTCCAATGTATTAAATATCCATCTATCTTGGATCAGACATTTGCGATATGAAGGATGTGAGGTCACCTGGTTTCAGTGGTGAAATTAGCATGAAAATGGCTGCCAAAGTTTGGTAACTCCAAACATAAAAATGACATATTTAGTGCCTTTAATCAATGTTTTTCAGTAAAATTCACATGGAAATGTGTTTTTATATGGACATAAAAGTATTAAAAGAGACTGAGCCAATAAATAAATATTCAATAAAAATTTCTAAACTGACGGAAAAAGGCCGATTTCTATATTGTGACAAGTGCCTGATTTCACTATGCTGTCTCAGATATATATTTGCCAGTTTCACTGGGTAGGATTTTTTGCCGCTACTGTTTTCAGTAAGTTTCAAAAACCTTTTGGCCCAACACAACTAGATCTACACCATGTCGGGATGTAACTTAACCATGTTGTTGTCAAAATTATTCTTGTAAAAGACTGAATCATGTCAGTTGACATACTCCCTCTACACATCTACACCGAGGAAAAAACTTTTGTTTCTGCCAATTTCTCTGTATAATCCAATGGAATTTTAAGGTTGTTTATTTATTTTTGTATGCAATGATTTTGCTCCTAGGTTAATACTTCATTAATACATAATGCAGAGTATTGTCTTCTGACATTATGCATTGTAGATCACGGTTAGTAAATTCATGTATTTCACTAATTACCATTTTTGTTTTTGACTGACACCCTTGATGTATTTTTCTACTTTATTGTTTCCTTTGCTGAAGAATTGAGTATGTTTTGTCCTAAGTAGCATTGTTTATCTTATTGGATTTATTCTTTTCAACAATTCTTCATGAAAAATTTTGAGATCATAGCATTTAAAAAATGAATGAATTGACATACACTTTACGTATACCGTCTACTGACTTTAAAGCACAGAAACCTAGAATTGGAAGTCAGTTTATGCGAAGCATAAATTTAACTCACTATGAATATGACACCCATGGCAGCAAAGGTTCAGTGTAGGAGCTAATCTGTATTTCAATTTCCTCATCCTTTCGTCCATCCCCCTTTGTTGAGATGACAGTCACAGAGTGAACCGCACAGCCTAGTAGTAGTAGTACTTGTTTGTGTTGTTCTGTCTTCTCTGTGAGCAGATTCTTTGGGAATATCTTGTCAGCATGTTCGTGTTTGAGTGCCTGTAAAATGACAGCTTGCTCTGAATGCTTCCAGAAAAACTAAAAATGTTGCATAATATTTTTGGGCCTGTCGGGGTAACAAAACAACATTATGTGCATTCAGCCCACTATTTAGTTGAGATATGCCCTGTGTAAATATGCAATCTATTATCATTGTTGTTATCATTATCAGTGTCATTAAATATGAGAATGAAAATTGTCAGACTGTTCATGTATTATTCTATACAGAGTGTTTACATACAGCACTGCACACTATGGATATGGAAAAGGTTATCACTTTACCAGTTTGTATGCTGTACCTTTCCTTGAAAGAATGAAATGTGTACTCAAGATGAATGATGCAACAGAACATTAACCATTTTCTTGGTGTCTTTGAGTCCAGAATTTTCCAGCTGACTATGGCTTTATAAGCTTCATACCATAATGACAAAACATGACATAACATTTTGTAAATTACTGCACGCAGGTGGTTGGGCGGCGTCACTGATAGATCCTACTTCTTCACTTTCCCTCTCGTTCCTGTCTGTGTGTCCTACTTTTTCCCAGCCCTAAGATGACTACTATTTATTATTATGCTATTACATTGATGCACTTCTCTTTACTCAAACAAACAAATGATTAGTGCACAGAGAGGCCTTGTCCAAGTGAACAGAACATTTCCTTCTACATCTAGACTCTCCCAGTTCTACAGTATTTATACAGGTCAGAGCAAAATCTCCCCCCCCCCGGGGGGGCAGTACCACTGACCGAAGTGTCTTTAGGCCATTCCCAAAGGGGGGACATTTCTCGTTCAAGCATAGTAGTAGAATTGTAAATGGGCTGACTCATGTCATGCTCATAACTGTGCCTGATCTACAACAGGGAACTGCTGCTTTTTCTATCCTGATCCTTACTATTGTCATTTTCCTCTACTTCTTTTGTATGTTTGTCACTCTCTTGTGACCTGCTATTTTAGGGTGCCTTGATAGTCGAAGCAGACCTTGTGCTGTTGAAGCTAGAGAGGTGAGCAGTCTAAGTCTGATTCCCTGTAAAGACTTCTCTGCTGACACCCACCCCTTGGCGTTCATATGACCTTATATTATGCAGTTGGGAGCGCCGTAAAACCCTCTAATAAGAATAATAAAAGCAAAATCTTCTCATGCATGAACTTGCGGTATGATTGGAATGTGTGGATGTTTCTACGATCAATACAGCATACACTTACCATCAAACTTCCAGCATGTTGTTTTCATTCTTCTCTTGGCACAATATTTGCTCCAATACTTTGTATATATATATATAGATGTCCCCGTGGTTTTATGCATAATTTCTTATTATTTTCCTTTATCATTCTTCTTTCTTTGTTAAAATTAACAGCATCGCATAATTTCACATTTTGGGGCTCAGTTTGCATAATTTCATAATTTTTTTTTGCATGAAACTGCGGAGACAGATATAGATACTGATTTACCCAACACACTACTCTCTAAAAATACAGTCTGGCACTGATAAATTAAATGCGTCAGGGATTGACAAATGTGTTTCACACTTCAATAATTCGGGTTAACGGATATAAAAAAGTAAAGAAATAACAGTTAGGGAATGGCAAATTGTACAAGTTATCAATGATTTCAAGTTTTCCTTGTTCACGTGATCTGTGCCTGACTGTTCTGATTTACCAGGCAGATCAAATCCTAAAAATATGCATCTCAAATGCTCTGTGACATTTGATATCGCCACTGGCAGTTTTTGTGGTTTAAGTATCTCAGATATCTGCAGTCATTTTTTAAAGTACAGTATACTATACAGTAGAACACGGCTAAAGCGGGACTTTTAGTTCCAGAAGCAAAATCCTGCTGTAAGCAAGTTCCCGTTCTAGGAACGCAAAGGGGAATTACAGAAAAATCACACACTACAAGCTCTCCTTTTCTTTTACTTTTTTAGCCTAACAGCGCTAGGCCTATGGCACATCACTGTTGGCGGAGTGGTTTGCGTAGCGCATCCCTCCGTACCATCTATCTCTGCCGCCTGCCCCACCTCACTCATCACTGGACTTTCCAATCGCTGTATCCAAGTTCGGACCTTTCCTTACCCCGTTATACCCGAGCACAGGTAATTGAGTTTACATACAAAAAAAGGGGGACTCCGGTAAGTTCACGCTGTAGGGATGGTCCCGTTGCAGCGGGTGCCGCTACAGTTGCAATTTTACATGAGGAGAGCCAAAAAACTGAATGTTGTTGCCAAGAAAGCAAACTGTTTGCAAACGTCCCAAGTCAATATCTTTACTTTATAAGTATACAGTTTTGACAATAAATTTATTTTAAAGCTGAATGCTTTCTCTGTAAAAACATTCAGTTTTTTGGCTCTCCTGTGAAAACTGTACATACTGCATATACTGCACATTCAAAGATGACAGCAGATATATAGGAGGAGTGGCTTGACTTGTATAAGATCTATAGCGATGTACAATGAGTTTATTATCTTTAGCAATAGGCAGCCAAAGAAAAAAAGGACTCTGTGGTTTAAAAATATGAAAGCTGCAGGGGACAGATGAGTCCCATTTTGCTAATTTGGAGAAATCATAATTTTTAAGCTTGAAACTTCAAACTTAGTCAAAAGAGAAAAAGATAGAAAATATCCTTTCCTTTTAACATGGACAAAGTCATTTTTCCCCCTCTAAAATGTTATGTTGTTAATAAACTGTAAGGTCAGGAAGCTTCCGTGGATTATCTCAAAATTATAGAAAAAAACGGCTCTTGTATGTCCCCTGTAATCATAACATGACACACTCGAACACCACGTATGTCAATAATTGCACAAATATTTATTATCATCAGCATAGTCAACAGTGTGGGTCTGTGTATAATAAAGTCTTACAACAGAAAAGACAAAATATAGATGATTTTTCCAAGTGAACTGACTTCCTACACCCAAGTAGTGAAAAAGTGCTAGACTGGGTCAACAATCGGAGAAACTCAAACTTGGTAGTTTTCTGTTCACCTCCACAGGTGCCGTAAAGATATTTCTCAACTTTCAGGATTATTGTCATCCTCATTACTAATCATCATACTAGTAGTAGTAGTACTAATGGTAGAAAAAAAAACATAAAAACTATGACCCCTGTGACTTTATTATAAGCCAGACCCACCAAGGCATCAAAGCAAACTAGACATTAAGTGAAAAAGACAAAACACCTCTGGAGAAGGCTACAAAAATAGCTGTGAGAAATTCAAAATGTACCAAGCAAAACGTAAAATGTCATATCTGAGCTGAGATTGGAAACGGTGAAACATTTTACTACAGTAGTACTAAAAGCATAGAATTGGTCATAAACCTTGATTTGCGCCTTGTGATAGAGAAACAAAGAACAAGCACCACATAGAATTTACCATCATGAATCTTCAACTGGGACTTGCAATAGAGAAGAAACAAAGAACAAGCATCACCTATAATTTTCATGAATCTTCATCTGTGCCTCGCGGTAGAGAAACAAACAAGTAGGGCCTACATTAACACTCAACCAAGTGACGCTAACACATAGCCTGGGGTGTCAGAGGAAACTAATACACGTATGATTTCAACGTATGTTGAAAATGTTTGAGAACAGGCAGACAAGCAAGCAAAAGCCATAAACCTATACATTATCGGGAGAAAAATGAAAATAGGAAATACAGCTCACTTGCGAGAGAGTTGAAAAGCTTGGCAATAAACAAAACAGGATAAACGAACAGAAATAGCGACTCGAATTACGGCCAATTAAATCGGCCCCAACACCACAGAATGAAACTTGCAGCCAACTTAATCAGCCATCGACACTTGGAGGGTTAAGAGAAGGCTGACTGAGTTGTCAGCATCCTCACAGCGATAGCACGAAGAGATAGAGGCATAGAGTACAATATACAGACATGTAGCCTTACACATGGAACACTGAAGCAAATAGCCGGAGACTGAAAATAGTAAGTACATTTCCAAACTTTCATAATCTTCTTTATCGTTAACGCTGAGGCTAACCATAGATAATTGCATTTTGGCATTAAAACACTGGAAATGTACCGCAAGTCGTTGGAGGGTGCCCCTGATAAATCCTACTTCTTCCCCACCCCTCAGTTCTTTCTGTGTTTTTATCACGCTTTTTCCTAGCACTAAATGACCCATATTATTGTGTCGAAGTACTTCTCCTTCTCCCCCGGCCCACCAACTTGTAAGTAAAAATGAAAGCTCAAGAGAATTTCCTCATAAAGTATAGAGAGTTGATGATTCCAATCTCACAAGATGGCTAATAAAAACACATGTGTACAACAACACGTAAATATACAACTGTACCAACTTGAATTGAATAGGAAATGATATAGAAGATGAGCTTCCTTTAAGCTTCACAACTTTGCAAAAGAGCATATTTCTTCATTTACATTTATTAATGTATCACTAGTATCAGTATTTAATCTATAGATTATAAAGTCCATTAGGAAGAGCAATAAGAATAGCATAAAGTGGAGTCCGCTTAAACCAAAATTCCAGGGGCTCTGGATTTTCTTCGGTTCAGCTTGGTTTCCAGGTTAGAGAGTAAAAATATTTTGGGATTTCATTTTCTTTCTGTCTGCCACCTTTTTCTGATTAACCATGTTTGATTTGAGAGGACTCTACTATATATTATTATACCTGTTATAGTATTAATCTAAAAAAAAAAACATAAGGAAGAACACATAATAGTAAAATATATATTATAAAGAGAGAGAAGGTATATGAGGAAGACACATGAAGAGGGAAGAAAAGACAAAAGAGATTCTCTTTTTCACCAAATTCTTCATCAAAGGAGCGCACGGAGTAGGTCTGAAGATTTCCACCAACTCAAAGAAAAGTGAACCTCACATTACGGTACCCTCACACTTCAGCTGAAAAGCTACAGGATAAATAACGTCAACGAATTGTTAAAATGTACTAATTACTAAATTAGGCCCCAAAAGCAAAATTTTACAGGAGAAAGAACTGTTAGTTACATTCTTTTATCAAGTATTTTTTTGTGCTTTTAGTTTTTATTCAATATTTTGAACTAGAATTTCAACACAGACTTTCTTGAGCACGCGCAAAAATATACCACAGATAAAGAAAGATCTGGAACAAAAAAATGTTCCAAATGTTGGGGTTACTGTTAGCACATTTGAACAGCTGGCCAATGATAAAATTTGTACAAAAGGTGAGGGAGACACAACATGAAACCAAACAAATTCCACGCTACATCAATGAACACATTTCATTTTCTTCTTCTTTTCATTTGACAAGGGCAAACATGCTTCACATTTGTAAAGTTTGAAAAGGTTATACATTGAGAGAGATGTGAGCCTTCTACTTCTATACAAATGTACCTCATTTCACCACTTTCAGTTTCTTGGTCATAAAAGAAATAAATATCAACAAAACGATCTAGTACACAGTGATAAAACATGAACTGGCATCTATGGTGTAGCAGTTAGGCGCTTCGCTGTCGCATGCAGGAGACTTGAGTTTGATTTCTAAATGAGAAAAATTTTTATCAAATATCTCTGTCTTTCTCACTCTTCTGCTGAGATGTATCTCTCTCAGGACAGGTTGGCCCTGACTGTCCCCGTGGTTTTATGCACCCCGCATGATTTAGCAAAATTTGATCATTTTTTTGCATAATTTCTGAATATTTTCCTTTATCATTCGTTGTTAAAATTACCAGAATCGCATAATTTCACATCTTTGTGTTCAGTTTGCATAATTTCAGAATTTTTCTTGCATCAAACGACGGAGCCAGTCAGTGATGTCCGCCTCCTAAACAAGCTAAATTGTGCCCAATGGGGGTGTAAAAACACCCACATTTGTTTTCCCAAAAACACTGATGATTTTGCGAGGAAATGAACTGAATTACACAACATAATTTCCCAGTTTAATTTAGTTTATAAAAACTGCTGTCATAAAACAAATGTATAATTATGATTAGCCTTTACAGTATAGACACACAAGTCTCAGACAACACGACAAAAGCTCTTGCGTAAGATACGGTACATAAAACAAGATAGATACTACTTGGGTACATTGTTTTATATGATGCCACAAAAGATTCTGTTCTGTAAATAAAGAAATAATGCAATAAAAGAATGGCAAAATTTTGAAGACTCACTGGATAAATCAAAGCTCACAAAAAAGAACTCAACAGTTCCTGATGCCTAAAATAAAATAAATAAATATATATATAGTCATTTACTACATATCTAATATACTGTTACGGACAACAGAGACATTTTCTGCCATCTAAAATTAATGTATATATTGTTAACATGTGACTTGTATTTACCAATGTCAAAGACAAACAACAGTAAAATATTAAACATTTGGACCAAATTGATCACATATTCTATATCAAATTACACACTTAAAGTCAGCTGAATCTCAGAGAAAAGCAGGCCCAAGGTTTCGGTACGTAGCCAAAGCAAAAATATTAATTATTTAATTCAAAATTAATCTTTAAACCAAATGAGAAAAAATTTATCAATAGAAACAGTGTCATTAATAATGAGCATTTTTAAATATCACACCATAGAAGAAAAAAAAAAGAACTAATCGGTGTAAAAATTAATGTGCACAGTAACTTTACTGTAGACAGAAGTACCTGATCTCTACTTGTTCCACAACCTCTCGTCAATAAATGGAAGATTGATAGTAATGATAGAAAGAAAGTCTTTTACACCCTTACCAAAAGAATTTTGAACATTTAGGAGACTGGCTGCACTGACTGACCCTGCCTGTGGTGAGGGCCAGCCAAGGCAGAGTGGGATACATGGGTGGTTGGCGGGTGCTCTGGTGTGGTTTGCTTTTTCTTTCCTCTCAAACATATATCGTCCTTATCTCCCCTTTTTCTTTTTTATGTTTGTTACTCTCTTGTAACAACACCTCTAATCTTCTGGCGCTCCTATGACCTTATGCAGTTGCGAGCGCCGTAAAACCTCTACTAAGACTAAACTAAGAGTGGGATACATCTCAACTCTAAGACGGAGAAAATCCATAAAATTACTTCCCCACTGAGGAATCAAATTCACATCTTCAGTGTGCAACAGCAAAGTGCCTAACTACTACACCACAGACACCTGTCGACCATCTCACACTGACTTGGAGAATACAGGACCAAGTAGGCTACAGTGTACAACTGCTTCAGAGAACGGTGGCAAGTGGTTGGCGGGTGCTCAAGTGTAGTTTGCTCTTTCTTTCCTATCAAACATATTATATAATTCTTATTTCTCTCTTCCGTCTTTTATTAGTGTTACCTCTATAGAAAATCTGCGGATGTATAGGTCATCATCAGTCAGTGAAGGATGAGCTATTAATTTATTCATATATTTATTAAATTAAACTCTCTAGTTACATTTCATATCTTGAGCAAAAGTTATAGGACCTATTTGTGTTGCATGTGCCATAAAACTTTTACTAAATAGAACAGAACAGAGAATAGAGAGCGGCTGATGCCAACAGGAAAACAACCAAGTCTGGAACCCGAACAAATCTTTCACATTGTTTGATTTCACAACATAAACATTTATTCCAACCAAAAATGAGACACTTTGGAGTAAATCTAATCTTTTTATAGATAACTCATCACAGACATAGATATATATACAGGTACTGTACCAAGACTAAAAAGGAAGTAAAAGAAAAGAAAAAAAGTTCATCACAGTGTGATATGAAACATAATACATATTTCAGTATAACACGGACAGATCGAACACAGAAGACTCGAAATCACGCACCTGTCGAACTGTGCCTGCAGTCCCCATTTGGTTTTTTCTTCTTTATCTTTGTAAGATATCCCTCAAACTACGGATCTCTCGAACTATCGAAGCCGGTCCCGACGAATTCGAGCTATCCGTGTTATACTGTATATAACTATAACATATAACAACCATACAACAATCCAAATGTGAAGAAAATCTTTACGGAAAAAAACGTCTTCATCTCTCCTGGACTCTGGTATCATGTGGGTACAAAACTACACAAGTTTATATCCCTAAAAAAAAACTGCAAAGGGGAGGCTACTCAGAACTCTGCCCGGCTCTGTTCATTTTTTCAGCAACGCAATGCCCAGACCCACTAGCCCGCCTAACGCCAGAGACGCACCACCAACAATTGCCATGCCAAGTAAGCCATCTGTAACAGAAAGGAAAAGAAACAAAAGAAAACAAAAGCTTTACAATGGCATACATAGGAGTGAAATATAAATATACACACATAAATAAATAAATAAATAGGATAGGATGGAAATGGTATGGCTCAAATACCCCTTCCAACATATTAGGTTTCTTTGAGATGCACCATCTCTGACAATAGGAAAATCCACCTTCATAAAAGACGTGGACACTCCTTGTGCTACTTGTAGGTCCTACTTCTCTTCTCTCCCTTTCTTGTTTAGTTTCTGTTTGATGAGTGTATTGCTTTTTCCATGCACTCAATGACTGCTTTTATATTGATCAGTGATATTTGATATGTCTCTCTCTACTCAACAACACAAGCTGGTGGAGAACTATGGAACTCTTCAAGCAACCCGAGTCTAAAAATATCTCTGTAGGATTCAAACCAGGGTCAACTGCACAGCTATGTGCTGCAGTTTTATCAGAAACGGATGTTAAATTCAGAGATACCATCTCTTACATAACCTAATACTAATAGAGTCGACTACGGATGAGCAGGTATTGTCATTGTGGGAGTAAAAACAGCTACTATAATGTCCCAAGCAACTTGAACATGTTGTGAGAGGATCCGTTTGACCCTGCGGAGGGGAACTCAAACCTTAAATCTCCTAAACCATCGTGTCCTCGTGTCTGTCAAATCATAAACAATCCTTCAGCCCCCCAGTGCACAATAGGCACAGCATATAAATACTGAAAACCCACAGGATACAGACACATGTCATAATGTCATACAAAAGAAAATAAAGGGGAAAGTATGGATGGTAAACAACATGGAGAAAATTCACTGGGATTTCTGGATTTCTGAGGAACATAATGGGGCTGAACCGAAAAAAAAAAACATAAATAAAATGCAGGAATTTTAACCGACAATGGCCCATAAGATTCCATCTACTCTACAGCAAACGGTGTTTATACTACATTAGTACATGTATGCTATTTTTACACATGAGACCTTTTGTCCACCAGCTAAGAGTCTATGATGAGTTTTGGGAAACAGCAACAAAACCGGCAGAAAGGACAGAGAAAGAAACACCTTGTGCCTACCCACAACCTACAAACTGAAACCCACAACACAACTTAACGCCACCATATTGGTAATTATAGTAATTCCTACAACTACAATGGAAAAGAACAACAAACAAGGAAACTGAAATTTTACAACACGAAAAAATTTTTGAAAATCAACAAGAAGAAAAGCACATCCTGACTTGGTTAACTTCTCAACACTATACCGTATACGCTGCTCACATCAGAAACTGTTCCAGCAGAAGGACCATTTGATGTAATGATAATAATAATTCTCACTCTGCCTTTCACAACACATTACATTCCATTTGACTATTCAATCCACCTCCTCAGTGTTGAAAAGCATTGCAGCCCATTACGCATAAATATTTACAACAGTCGTACACAAGTGAAGCGCATCTTCTTCTACAACGTGTCCATAATCTAAAAGTGCGTAACCCTTCTCCCCAAGTGACAAAGTCTTTGTGAAGGAGTTATGCCTTGACAACATGAAGTTTACACAGAAAGCACAGCTCTCCTGTACAGCCAAACAAAAATCTTGAGATAAAGATACATATAAGACTACAATACAACCCTTTTAAGACCTGAAATTAATAAGCTAATACCAATGCCAAAAGAATATCCATCAGAGAAATTATCAATATATGCTTATAATAGAATAGTACACTAATTTAAACAATGCAGAACAAAGAAAGAAAGCCAAAAACTAAGGAACATGCAAAAACAACGAAGACAGAGCAAGATTCCTTTCCTCCTTTATTCTGACACATGTGTAAAACACTTTATATATATATATATATAGGGATAAACGTCCTAGAAACTTGAGTGAGAAGCAAATAATGAGAAAGATCCAAAAGACTCAAGCCCTTACGAGGCCTGGGGGGACTACTTCTTCTTGACGGCTGCAATAGTGGCCCCGACAAGGCCGCCTAGGGCCAGCACAGCGCCACCTACAATAGCCATACCCAGCAGGCCATCTGTAACCGGAGGATAAGAAGACACAGTTGGTTTGTTTTGTTAGTTTGAAAAAAGACAAGCACATCGACACAATAAGTCATTTATCAAATGGAAAAAACAATAGAGATCTATAGACCAGAACAATAGAGAAATCGAAAAGGAGTCAGACCTACCAGTAGCACCTTCCAATCATAGAAGAAACAAACTTCGTCAAAACCGAACTTCGCCGGCCTCCGTTCATTGAGAACCTAGCCGAGTCTTCACAAAGACAGGCTGGATACTTTTACTTTTATCAAACAGGCACAACAGTATTGATGACACCAATAGCAACAGTGGCTTTTTTATTTGTGAATTTGTTTGAGCTGAACTTAAGGACCCCTGTACAGAAGACTACAGTTGAACATGCCATAACGGTCACCTGTACTAACGGCCACTTTCCATTTCCCCCTTGCATTTTTTCCATATAATTTAACTGTGTAAATTGGTCAGGGTTCCAACGTGGCCGCGGCCACCTTATTTTATCAACCCACTGTCAAATTTACCTGCCTCAGGCGGCCAGGCGTGGTCACTCATTGCCCGACGCTTTGTCATAAATTTTGAATCGGCCCCTCACGCTGCGGACGGGCCATCATAATTCATTCACCTGTTGTTATTGTTAGTCGCTCCAGTGAATGTTTACCCACGATGACCAATAGGCAGGCCTTACAATAAATTTTAAACTGCTGGTGAGGGAAGCGTGTGACCCGTCATAACCTATAAGCCCCGCCAACAACTCATGCACAAATTGTAAGTAAGGTGACTGGTCACTGTTTTCTTTACCTAATCTGTAATAAAGTAACAATGGACGTTGACGTGAACTTGCAAAAGAAGAGTCGCTCGTTCTCCTAGTGGGGGCGACCGGTATGTTTATTTTGCCATGGCACTTGGTATTCATCGTCTTACTTACATAATATTTCGTTCATTTTACCCTTGCACTAAATCAGCAACAAAAAGAAAGCTTACCAAAAAAACTAACTAACAAAACAACACAAAAAAACCTCACGAGCACACCATTCGTCACTTGATGGCCGTTTTCCTGTTTTCCTCGACAGGGGATTCCTGTTTGAGGTGATACCTCTAGTCTAACACAACACATCTATAATTTGCTGGAAAACTCAAAAATCTACTTCAGCAGGAAAAATCACTCATGGCGAGTTTACTCCGTACGTGCGAAATGTGTTCAAAATAGGACAAGTTGAATAAACTTGCTCAGGACTCAAAGGAGAGTGACATGAATAAAGCTTGAAAAGAACTGAATTTGCTTGCGTGCAACAAGATAACAATAGGTAGAGATACCAAAGTACAGTCCGCCAATGACTTTATCAATACTATACAGAAGTTTATTATACCACCATAATTAAAAGGAGAAGATGGAGATGGATTGGGCATGTTCTGAGAAGAGAACCAGACTCTATTGGGAAGACTGCCCTCCACTGGAAACCCGAAGGAAATCGCAAGAGGGGCAGACCCAAAGTGACCTGGAGACGCACAGTAGAGTCTGAAATGAAGTCCTGGAATCATTCGTGGGGGCCATTGACCAAGAAGGCCCAAAACAGACAGAGCTGGAGATCCTTTGTCACTGCCCTAAACGCCAGATGGCGTAACGGGTAGTAGTAGTAAGTAAGTACAGAAATCTATGGGGAAAGATGATGTGATCGAGACAGTGGTATCTAATAAAGGACCAGACCAGACCATCAATGATTTGGTGGCGTCGGTGGCCTAGTGGTTAGGCTCTCGGACTCGCAACCGTAAGGTCGTGGGTTCGAATCCCGTCAAGGGCCCGACGTTGTGTCCTTGGGAAAGGCACTTTACACGAATTTTCCTCACTTCACCCAGGTGGGAATGGGTACCCGGCTATAGACAGCGAAAGATCTTGTCAGTTTGTTAGTGTTTGAGCGCTTAATCGGCTGCTCGCACTGTATGCTTCCCGGGAAGCTGAGAATGTTTCGGAGTGTTCTATGGTCTGCTGGGGTAATAATATAGTGTAAAGCGCATAGAGCCTGCTGTTGAGCGGGGATATGCGCTATACAAATGCTATCTATTATTATTATTATTTATTTATAGAGGCACCAGCCATCCATGTCCAGGTGCTGTTTTAGCCTGAATCTAATAAAGGAAACAGATTGCCAACAAACAACAATAATGATAATAATAATAATTGAATTCATACAGCGTATATCCATGCTCTACACTACAGAATGCTCTAGATGCGCTTAACAAATACTATGACCTCCATGATAAAAAGCTCTGAAAATATATAGTTATTAATGATTGAAGTAATCAGGAAAGAACAGATTAGAATTATCTTTTCTCTTGACATAGCATTTGAACTGACCTTTCTTCATTTTTGCCTTAATGTAACCATCAAGCTGTTGGGCTTGACGATTGTTTGGTTCAATTTTCCGAATGGCTTCAGTATACTTCAGGGCTCTTTCATATTCCTGCACAGAAAAATTGGCCAAAAATTTAGTTTTGAAGAACATCTAAAGGAAAGGGAGGAGGAGAGAGAGAAAGAGAAAAAGAGAGAGAGAGACACAGAGAGAGAGAGACAGAGAAAGACATATGGTGGAACAGAAATATGTGGAAAAGAAAAAGAGAGAGACCGACAGAATGACAGAGAGAGAGAGAGAAAGAGAGAGAGGTAACTTAGAGAGAGACACACAATGACACATAGTAGAACAAGAACATATGGATGAGAGAAAGAGAGGGAGAGACAGAGAGAACGAGAAAGACAGGTAACAGAGCGAGAAAAAGAGAGAGACAAGTGGTGGATTAAAAGAAGAGCTCAGTGGCCTGGGTGCAGCTTTCTGTATGGTACAGGATGTGAAGGTTCAAAACGATAAAAGTTGTCAGTTCTTCATCTTTCAAACATATCTGGAAACCTCTCTCTCTCT